TATATATATATATATATATATATATAAATATGTAAAAATTGTATGGTATGTGTTACATCTTTCTTTTTAAAAAGTCTCAAAATATGTTCTTAAAAATAATTTTGGTTGTTTCAAAAAACGGATTAATTTACTTCTAAAAATAAAGATAAAAATATATGAAATATGCACAAAATATAAAAAAAATAAAAAAAATATATGAAAAAGTTGAAGCATCCCTTCTTGAAGCCTCTTTTTGTTCTTGAAAATTTGATACATTTTACTCTTTTAGCATTGACAAAAGTAACCTATTTGGACGCTCATTGCACTCTAGCATTTGACATGTTATGATGGTTTTAGTGTCAAAGTTTATAAAAATGTCAAAATAGTCACAAACTCTTTAAATTGGTGTTAAAATAGAGGACTATTAGAACTCAATTATTTTTCTAAATTTTAATATTTACATTTCTAACTCCGCAGTCATAAACTTTTGTACCAAAAAGGTGTATTTATTGATAGCAGTAGTTTTGATGTATGTTAATATTTTTAGTAGTGTGCATGTAAATATGAATGTTTAGTTTTTAGATATATGTATGTAAATGGCCCTTTTTATAATTTTGCTTATACTTAATTCTCACTTGGTTTGGGACTGCTTGGATGACGAGAAATATTTGCGTACGGAAAGCGTACGCAGAGTTGCGTACATTTTAACTTATTCGGAAGGTACAACTAGATTAAATTTAGGATACATGAAGAATTACAAGGGGGTATAACTTAAGTGTAACCTAATTATACCCTCTGAATAATCTAAAATGTACGCAACTCTGCATACGTAAGTATTTCTCTTGAATGACAGCATTACTCGTGGCCATAAGGTTTAATATTATGTTAATTATTGTTTAATATTTATCCACAACTGTATGATATATATGGTAATATCATCAATTTATTCTGCCTCATTCAACCTTATCTCTTCCTAGCCAAAATAATGTTTTTTAAAAAGTTCAACTTTTTGGCCCTATCTTTCCCAAAAAAAAAATAAATAAATAAAATAGAAAATGTCTTTTTATTTCAATTATTTGTCGTATAGTGTGATATAGGTGTTTGCCAATGCGATGGTCCGATGGACAGCTTGATCTTGCCAAAAACAAAATATGAATATGGTTGGTAAATTGTTATTTAAAAGTGGAAATTTTATATTTAGCACCTTAGAATTTGGCATTTATAAAGTCAACTCCCAATAATTAGCTCTATTTACAATAGGCCCACTAAAGGTTGAAGTTTTCTTTTTTCATTCATTAAATTCAAAAGAGGTGGTCATGAATTCATGCTTTTATTTGTATATTTTGTAATGTTTAGTATTAGATAGAAAAATATGAAGGACTTGGGGCTTGTTTTTGATCATTCTTATTTATTCATTTATTTATTTTTTTGTTTTTATTTTAAAAAATATTTATTTAGTGTATTTTTATTTATTTTTTAAATAAATTAGTTTATTTTTAAAATAAATAAATATATACAATATACCAAATATATTTAAAAAAAAAAAACAAACTAAATAAATAAAAATATTTAAAAAAAAAACAAAAGTGACCTCTAACAGCTCCTTAGTTGACAACACAATAATTTTCCCTTAAATTTTTTTTGTGAACTAAGCATATATTATCATTCTCTATTACATATTTGTTCTACTCACCTTAGTACCCTATACACATTAGTTGGTTGTATGGTAATGGGTTTAGCTGCTCTAGTAAGTCCTGTAAATCTGAATTTACTGAATTTATCTAACAAGAAGATTTAATAAGTTCAGGATGTAATTAAGGAAGAAATTGAGAGGGAATTGGATTTACTAAATCATCAATTTATAATCACTATTCTATGTTATCCTACATAAATTCATTACCATACAACCCTTCAAAAAAGTTAAGTTAAGTTGAAATAACTCTTTGTAAAAGAAGGTAACATTTGTTTTATTTTGCAATTTTCCAGTGCTCATTCCTCTATATTTCTACCACCAGCGCCATCCATTAAACCTCCTTCTTCTCGCCCTCTTCACCATCTCCATCAGCTTCACCGTAGGACTGGCATGCGCGTTCACCAAAGGCAAGCCTTCTGAATTTTCTTCTGCTTTCGGCTGTGTTTGATTCAAAAAACTTTAGCTAATTATTTTCATTAATGGAGAGCAGGGAAGGTTATTCTTGAGGCAGCCATTCTCACCGCAGTGGTCGTCATCAGCCTCACTCTCTACACCTTCTGGGCGGCAAGGCGAGGCCATGATTTCCGCTTTCTCGGCCCCATACTCTTCTCCTCCCTCATTGTTCTCATCGTCTTTGCTCTCATCCAGGTTTGTGATCTTCATCTCTTTACTGAAAAAAGAGTTATAAAGACAATCACAGCAGGAAAAAAGTCATTTTATTTTCATTGCAGTAGATTTTAAACTTTTTTTTAATATTTTTTTCAGCTTTTTTTAACATAAGTACTTGCAAAAAGGGCTGTCAAAAAAACTCGTTGTTTGCAAATAGCTCGTGTTCGGCTCATTATGTAGCTCGTGTTCGACTCGTTCGTTAAGAAAACGAGCCGAACACGAACAGCTCTTTATTCGCTCGTGTTCGGTTCGTTTTAGCTTGAAATAAAGAAATTATATAATTATTTATATAATAATATATTACATATATTATTTATATAGTATTATATTATATATATTTATATTTAAGTTTAAATTGTAGCAACTCGTGTGGTAACGTGGTTATGTGTCTTAATCTATATATATTTGGTCCAGGTTTGAATCCAACACTCTACATCTATTTTTTATAAGTTAATTTTAACGAACAAATTTCGAGCCGAACACGAATATCTAATTCGAGCCGAATAAGAACACGAGTATGTAATTTGAGCCGAACACGAACACACTGTTCACGAGCCGATTTCGAACACGAGCACTTTCGAACGAGCCAAACACGAGCCAAGCCTGAGCTTGCTTAAGCTCAGCTCTTTTACAGCCCTACTTGCAAAGAACTTTTTTTTAGCGGTGCGTCTTTGAATATGACAACTCTGACACGCAAAATGTTAAATGTTGAGAATGATATGTGATTTTATTGGCAACATAGATCTTCTTCCCGTTGGGGAGAATCTCACATATGATATATGGAGGGCTGGCGGCTCTGATCTTCAGCGGCTATATCATCTACGATACGGATAATTTGATTAAGCGCTATAACTATGATGAGTATGTTTGGGCGGCGGTGGCTCTGTATCTCGACATCATCAACTTGTTTCTAGCTCTTCTCACTCTTTTCAGAGCTGCTGATGCATGACTGCTTGTAAATACATACATCGATTTGCTTATTTAGTTTGGGGAACAATTGGGATTCCTGATTTTTTTTTTCTTTTTTGGATTTGGTTTTAGAGATGGTTAAACATGTTTATGATTGAAGCTGGATTTGATGATATATAATATATTTTTTACTGCTTTAATGATGTATAGATGGTATTCTTATTTCTATTGGATTACATCTGGGATCAGCTTTTAGCCTGTTTCTTTTTGCTTTAATTATGGATGGTCTTACGGGACATTTAGAGGAGGATGTACCTTGGTTTATGTTTTTTGCTGATGATATTCTTCTCGTAGATATGACAAGAGCAGAAGCCCAGGAAAAACTTGAATTATGGAGGTCTACATTGGAGTCAAAAGGCCTTTTTTTTTTACTAGAACTAAAACTGAATATGCTGAATGTAATTTTAGTAGTAGTAGCTCTAGTGATAGGAGTGTAACTTTGGGTTATCAAATTATTAAAAGGTGTGAACGATTTAGATATCTTGGTTTTATTGTTTAAAGCGATGGTGATACGGATGGGGATGTTAATAGTAGAATTCAAGTTGGTTGGTTCAAATGGAGGAATGTTTCAAGTTTTTTGTTTGATAGAAAATCACCGCTTGGATTGAAAGGAAAATTTTATAAAATAGTGGTGAGACCTGCAATGCTCTATGGTGCTGAATGTTGGTCTTTAAAAGAGAAGCATAATACTGAATTAAGTGTTGTCGAGATGAAAATGATTAGGTGGACGAGTGGTTTTACACTTACAGACAAAATGCTATACGGGTGATAGAGTTGGTGTAGCTTCAATGACAGATAAAATTAGAGAGAGTCGTCTTAGATAATTTGGTCACATTAAACGTCAACCATCAGATGAACCTATTAGGAGGCAAAGGTAGACCTAGGAAGACTTAAACTTGTATAAAAAATAATCTTAATTTACTAGAACTAAATGAAAATATTACACTAAATAGGAGCGATGAAGAAAAGGGATTCACGTAGCAGTAGTGGTAGTGGGATTAAGGCTTTGTCGTTATTGTTTTTCTTGTACTTTAATGTCATATATTTAAATTTTTCCGTGCATGCCATCCAATCCATATGTATTACATATCTAACATTTCAATTTTACCTTTTACATGTACACCACTCAAATCTTTCATATCAACTAAACAACAACAACACCATTTTAACTTTTAAAAAAATGACTGCATTGATAGGTGGCATGCATGCATGCACGTATAAGTTGGAAGTTTAGGTGTTATTTATGTAAATATAATATGAATTGGAGGCGGTATTTATGTTAGTATTTCCTTACTTGATCGGTAGGAGTGTGCTCCACGTCTCTGCTGAGAACATGATCCTTTCTTCTGTTTGGAGCCTTGTCTGAATTCTTGTACTGCAAAACGAATTCGAATTGTTTGGCAACTATTAAAGTTTTATTGACTTTAATTTTAAGATAAGGCCTCTTTAGGTGCATGAATCCATGATATTTTAGCTGTTTTGATAATCATAAATCATACTATGAAATTTAGGGTATGTTTGGGGCAACTGTAGCTTATTGAATAATCTGCTGATAAGCCGATTAAAAATAATCTGTTGATAAGATAGATGCAGTGGCTATTACAAAATTTTGTTTTTTTGGAAAAAATCAGACCGATGCCAATAAGCTACCGCAGGTGCAGTTTTTCTACATTTTGAAAACGCATAAGCTATCAAAACACAGTTTACCCAAACAGACTAAGTGTGTTTTCAAAACGCCACCACTCAAAATAAGCTGCCCAAAATGGACCCTTAGTATTATTGGTTTTCAAGTTAAATAGCACACCATAAGAATTACACATATGAAGACTAGCATTTTAGATAAAAAAAATTAATGCTTTAAGAGGGATGCAATAGAATATATTGACAGTATTAAAGACAAGTGAGGGAGGATTTAAATTATTCTTAGTACAAAAAAAAAAAAAAAATGGTATAACCTTTAATAATGTTATTAAATTATTTTCTTTTATTAAAATAAAATGTTTTTAAAATATTTTTTGGGCTCTTATTAATAGTTAACAAAATAGAGATTTTGATTTATTAAATTATTTTCTTTTATTAAAATAAAATGTTTTTAAAATATTTTTTGGGCTCTTATTAATAGTTAACAAAATAGAGATTTTGATAAATATTGTTTTAATCTCATTAAGAAAATAACATTTCTCTATATATTGTTTATCATTGATTTTGAAATCTTATAAATTTTTTTCCCTCTTTAATTGATGATGTTTATTTTTCTTTAAGAGAGAATCACTTCACGAAACCTACAAAATAGCGTCGATATTTACGTCCAAAAATTGTCTACGCTAAAAATAGTGTAAGATTTGTGTCTGACATACCACAAACTTGTACGCTAGTCATTTGAAGGGTTTTGCGTCATCCTTTTTGCGTCGAAACAAATCATCGTAAAATATTTTGCATCAAACCACGCATCACCATCAGCAGCAAAATACATTCACTCAATTGCATCGGAATTTAGCATATGCAAATACAACGCAAGTGGCCTAAAATATGATCCTCATGCGATATAGGGGCATTCACTCCCCACTCACTGTTTCGGTCTTAGCTCTGGTGACTCCGGCATGACTTCGCCTCCAACGAGCCGTTCTTCCAATGGCCAAATTCGGCTCCGACAAGCTATCCTCTTCTCTGACCTTTAGGTAAATGTTTTTTTATCTCTTTTGAGTCCCGCCTCATGACATGTGTGGTTTTTAAGTCTATGTTTTATATAAAATTGATGTTTGTAATGCATAGGATTTTTTGTGATTTTAATGTGATTTTTGAAGTTTAGTGTTAGACATGTAATGCATAATAATTGTGTAGTTTTAATGTAAAAAAAATGAAGTTTAGGTTGTTACATATGTGAGCATATAAAAGATAAGCATAAAATTAAGTTTTGCATATGAAAATGCTTAGGGGGATGAGCGGCTTTAAGCTTAGAGACAAAATGTGAAACATCGATATTCGAGGAAGAGTTGGTGTTGTGCCGATGGTAGAAAATATTAGAGAGAGTTGACTTACATGGTTTGGTCACCTAAAACGTCTACCATATGATAATTCAGTTAGAAGTGAACGTTTTAGATATTTCAGGTCTGTTTTTCAAAGTGATGGTAATATAGATGATGATGTTATTATTAGACTTCAAGTTAGATGGTTGAACTGCGAGAATGCTTCAGATATATTTTGTGATAGAAAAATGTCACTTAAAGAAAAAGTTAATAAGATAGAAGTAAGTATTACAATACTTTATTGCACAAAACGTTGGCTTGTAAAAGAGGGAAAATTATCGCATCAGAGTCCTGATCCAGTTTTGCATCAGGACTCCAATTGGGGCATGCCACATGCCCACTCCTGTATTAAATTGGGGGTTGTTGGTGGATACTTAGTCTTATAGCGCTGGACCTTTAGCCTTTTAATGACGATCTCTCAGCCTTCTGCTCGTGGGCCCCATTGTATTATGCTCATTTGTAATGTTGGATTTCTTGAGATTTCTGTTGGTACTTTTCCTATGTACATTATTTTCTTGCAATATTGTTGTGATTTAGATAGCCATGTTGCATTGAATTGGTCCATATCATGTCGTCATCAGCCTGATTATTAAAATTCATTTATCTTAAATATATGTGGTCAACATTTTCGTAAAGAAAATTAGCTATTTTCTTAAATATGAATTTGCAGCAACAACAGAGTAATAATAATAATAATAATAGTAGAAAGATATCATTTCAAATAGAAAATCAACAAAACAATTAAAACATTTGATCAAAATATTATTTTTTTTATGAAATGAAAGAGTAGTTTTCAATTCTTGATCATATATAGTAATAACTAATAATTAACATATCCTATTAAGGGGGTTACAACGATTAAATGTTGGTTGGTAGTTCATATTTATGTGGGATGTTGAAAGGTGGGCGCTTAATTGTCCTGCCAATTAAAAGAAAGATTTGGCTATAAAAGAAGGCCAATCATTACCACTGATGAGCCAAATCATAAATGAGATCTATTGTGATATCAAATGGGGTCAGAGCTCTAGAATTATCCACATCAGATGGTGAAGGTGGTCATACAATTGTCTTATTAGCTGGAGAAAATATTAGATTATTATAGAAAGTGATCTCATGATTAAATCAATTGGCCCACCATATGACACTCAGATCCGTATACATTTATATTTAGAAATAAATATTAACTTGAACACATTATGTTTTATACATGACAGTGTGGGTGATCCACGCCGTTGTCCGTACGAAAGACATAATATTTTCTCATACATCGAGGAATTCTCTCTGCCACTTCTTAAATTTATCGAAATATGATCTATCTATAAATTTATAAACATTTATTATGTTTTAATTATTTTTATAAAAACTTGAACATTCTATCTAAATAGGTTCATTTTAATCATGTTATTATTTATTTTTGGTAAGTAATTTGGTATCTTATTGAACTTGGAATTTGAGTAAGCTTGAACTTGTTAATTTTATGAGTCGAGACGCTTATTTTGATTATGACCATATAAAATTGTAAGGATATTTAGCCCTTTTTATAACCTCAAATAAGTTTAATTGTATTCATCAAAATTTAGTTTAAGTTCACTTGAACTCAAATTTGCTTGACTTCGAGTTAGTTTGGTGGATTAATCTCATCAAATCACATAATATCTGTTGTGAAAAAAGACGGCAATAAAGAGAAAAATGGAACGAGAAAAATTGCACGCAGAAAAAACACCAGAACGACACACAAATTTACATGGTGCAGCAAAATTGCCTACGTCACGGAGTTGTAGAGGATTTTATTTCTTCAAGCAATTATACCGTCGAGCGCCTCGACGTTTACAAGAAAATTTCTATTTTCTTCTCTCCCTTACTCTCTCTCTTACTTCCTCTTTTTCTCTTAGCTCTCAAGAGGACTTGGCTTGGCCCTTGCTTGGCTTGGCTTACTTTGACTTCTCCTTTAAGCTAAAATAGGCTATTTATAGAAACCATGAGAGCAGTAAGTGAGAGGTATGTGAGCGGTAGGTGGGATGTGGTAGGTGAACGGTAGTTGGAAAAGTAGGTGAGTAGTAGATGA